TGCTACTGCTACTACCACTACTACTATGACTATGATGGCGATGATGACTAAAAAACAAGAACAAGGAGTAAACTTGCATCTGCACGACCTACGAATCGAAGGCAGTTCGCTTAGGTCCTGCAGTGAAGTGAAGCAGACCTCTATCCCATGGAGCAGCGCTCCCTCAATCATCACTTCAAATTTAGATCCAGTGCCGTAGTCGCAGCACCTGAAGCCAGCTTGAGCAAAACCAGAGTAACTCCCAAAGATACTTCCTACAAAGCCCCCCCCCCCCCCATACAAAGACACTAAAAAAAGAAGCGGAAGCCGTCCCACAAAGAGGATCTGAAATCCCCAGAGTCGGACTCCCAAGCCCTGAACACGACGCTAGGAACGAACGACTTCTACCCTCGATCTTTGCATGGACAAGTACATGCGGAATCGACACCTACAGTACAACCGCCAAACCCAAAACAGCCCAGGAGACCCTGAAATCGGACCCAGGCGGTTTAGGCGTTTAGGGGTTCATTGTTACATTGAGGGGTTTAGGGTTTAGGGATCCCCTTGACTTGGGGTCCCACCATCCAAGGCGAGGTGGCAAATGCCCGCAAGAAACCACGCGAGCCCGAAAGCCGCATCCCCGAAGGCCGCGCCGTCCTCCCGAGGCTGGGGAAAGGGTCCCTCTAAAGGGGTTATTTAGGGGCTCCTTTAAGGGCTCCTTGGAGGGTTCCTTTAAGGTTTCCTTGAAGTGTTCGGCTGAGGGTTCCTTTAAGGGTTGCTTTCATCGTTCTAGAAGGGTTCTGTAAGCCCTCAACCCTGAACCATACCTCACAGATGACCCAGAAGCCCTGACATCTGGTGCCCAACTTCAGTCTTGGTGCCCCGGAAACTTGGCGACTTCGGAAAAGGGGGCTTCGGGCTTTAGGGTTTAGGGTTTAGGGTTTAGGGCTTGGGGCTTGGGGCTTGGGGTTGACAGGTTTGGGTAGGGTAGGGTTTATTTAAGGTTTATAGGGCTTTACTTGGGGAAAATAGACTAGAATCCTGGCCACTCCAAAACTGAACCCCACTCTTAGGTTCCTTTCTTTTCGAGACGAATAGGCCGACTAGGCCCAACACTCAAAATCCTCATCTTAAGTAGAAGCCCCAAAACCCTGAGCACTCTGTAAACCCTAAACCCTAAACCCTATATAAACCCTACACCCTCGTTTAACAAAAGGTTGAAAACCCCCAAACCGCCTGAAGCCGTAAAGCTCCGAGCCACCGACTCCCCCAACACAAACTCCGAAACCTCGCTCCTTCTAGGAGCGTGACCGAGGGTTTAGGGGTGTAGGGTTAAGGAATCATTTAGGGTTTAGGGTTTATATAGGGTTTAGGATTAAGGGATTATATAGGGTTTAGGGTTTATTCAGGGTTTAGGGTTTAGGGTTCATATAGGTTTGAGGGTCTAGGGTTTATATAGGGCTCAGGGTATTTTACACCCTGTCCGTCTAAAAGCCGTCAACGCCTCAAATTCTGAGCCTGAGCTGGGCCCCACATACTAAACTCTTTTCGCCCGATCCCGAGACCCTGAACGATAAAGGCTAGGCCCTAGACCCTAAACCCCCTCAGAGTAAACCCGAAAAGTTCGAAACGGATGAAGGACAATGAGTGCTGGGATTCCCTATGTTTGACTCTTAAGGATTCCCGCCATTGGATGTCCAACTTTTGGGCTTCTACTTGAACTCTAAACCCTAAACCCTAAACCCTAGACCCTAAATCCTAAAGCCTAAACCCTAAACCCTAAACCCTAAACCCTAAACCCTAAACCCTAAACCCTAACCCTCAAGTCCTCCAAGAGATCGCATAGCCGCTCCACCGTGCCCAGCGCGCTCCGATACTCCTTCGTGCGCAGCTGACCTGGGAGTTTCCAAAAATTAGGGTACCCTATTTTGGGGGTCCTTATAATAAGGATCCGATTATTTAGGGTACTATATTAGGGTCCCTTATTTTCGGAAACCCCCACCTGGGTGGAATAGGGCCCCTGTGTGCTTGGCAGGGGGGGGGCGGTTTGAAGTTTGAAGTCTTCGGCGGCCCAAATGGGTCCTCAAAAGGTAGACTAGCATTTTGGGGCGTGCATGTATATGTTCGGGTATTATGGAACCCTGAGGAACAGTATTGGAGGATTTTGCGGCTGAGGACGGGGAGTGGGCTGCAATCACGTTTTGCATTGCTGCTGAGGTTTGCAATGGTCTGTTTCATTGCCATTATGTCTGCTTAGTCTTAGACTTGGCCTGGCAGTTTTAATTCACCTTTACAATTACTGTGACGACAAGCTTGCTCTCGTAAGTGTTACCCTAAACCCTAAACCCTAAACCCTAAACCCCTAAACCCTAAACCCTAAACCCTAAACCCCTAAAACCTAAACCCTAAACCTCCAATTGTCAAGGCAGGGGTCACAATGAAACGTGCCCCAGCCCGGTCACAACGTCGCTCACGCAAGGCCTGAAACTGCGAACTTTGAGACTCCCCTAAACCCTAAGCCCTAAACCCGGACTCACCCTGAAACCCTTCAGCCCCGGTCAAGAATCCTCAAACTCTAAACCCCAAAACCCCCAAACCGTGACCAACAAAAAAACCCTACTCCATAGTCCCAAAACCCGTAACCCTGAAGCATAGTCTGAAAAATTGATCACGATTTCACTGACGAGCAGGTAGTGGTTCAGCGGGTCTGGCCGCCTCCCAAAAATCAGGAGTCCCTGACAAACCAAAATGTCAGAGTCAAGACGTCTCCGTCGTGGCTTCTCCATGCAACGAAAAAGTGCTTGTCGGAAAAGAGCACGATGTGTGATTAGGCGCAGGCGGCACGCAACCCGGACAATAGATGAGGATGGATCCAGCAAGCCTGCAGACAGTGGCGACGGTCGTCATCGCCTTTTTCTTTTGGATCCATCCTCATGACTGACCCCGCAACCCGACTCCAAACCGTGATCACCTTTCTTGCGCATCTGCTGCAAGCTTGCGTACCTCTTCCTCGCACTGACGTTGTTCTCCTCAGCTCGGTCTGCATTGGCCTGGGCTGTTTCCATGCCAAGCCTTCGGGGTTCCTCCAGTCGGTTGCTTCAACCTGAGTCGCTATGACCTTGGTCTAAAGACGTGCAACCAGTACGAGTCAGTAGCACACACTAAGGACGCTTCGCAGGCGCACGCACCAAGAGGAGTTGACCACTGCGTCCCCCACCACCTTCACAACCCTCTTGCACTCCGTGGGGCTCGTATTGCACAGCATCGTCCTGTGAAGCTCCCGAAGCCCTGGTGGCCATCACTCCGCCAGCATCACCACGACCAGCTCCATCTTTAAGAAGGCGATGTGTCTGGAGCATATCCAGGACATCCTATGGAGAGTATGCACGTACTCGGAAAGCTGGGACAACAAAGGCTGGATGGAGACGTGGCCTGGGAATGCCACAACGTTTGGATTGTAATCCACAGGCTGCGGCATTGCCAGGACACGTCTCCGTCCCGCCTCTGGTGTACGTGCATTTGCTCCTCAAGTATGCCTTCAAGTGGTAATCTAGGGGCCTTAGTAATTAGAATAGGGTTTTGGTGCCCCCTATTCCTTTCAATATAATGAGGAACCCCCAAACTAGTACAGGTAACTATTTGTATAGGCCCCTACATCATGCCCTAAACCCTAAACCCTAAACCCTAAACCCTAAATCCTAAACCATATGTGGTTGCAGAAACCGTGGCTAGAGCCACCAAAAAGAGCCGGAGACGCTTCTGTCCCACACAGAAATCATAGGAGCAAGGGCTCACCTGGAAGCCATTCTCTGCCAGGTTCTGGAGGTTTAGGGTCTTGGGTTCAGAGTTTTAGGGCTTTAGGGCTGTAGGGTTTAAGGGTTTAGGGGTTTAGGGTTTCGGACCATTCTCTGCCAGGTTCTTCATGATCTTGCAAAGAGCTCTCTCGCCACCCGGGCTCCGACTCCCTTGTGGTCATAATGGTCAGAGTAATAACAATAATAGTAACAATAATAAGAATGACAACAGTAAGCATGATACGTTACCAGAATAGTAGCAACAGTAGAAAAATATTTGATACCGTTCAAGGATCTCACGAGCCTGCAGTAAGCCCGTCGCAGGGGCTTGCATGCACAATCACGAGAACAGCCTCCGAAACAGGCGAGCCGGAAAGAGGCTGCTCCAATGCAAGGTAACGACCTCTCAAGGGTGGCTGATGTGGCATGAGTTGAATAAGCATGATATCCGCAACTTTACCCCCAATTCAATCTCCTAAAGCCTTAGCCTAAACTTTACCCCTGAACATTAAACTCGCCAACCCCATACCACCTTCGCTGTAAACTCCTGACGCTAATTCTTGGGTCAGCAGCAGAGAGCCATGTTGAACGTGCACTCGCACTCGAAGATGGAGAGGCCTGCGATCGAGCAAGCTGCGATTGTCGGGGTTGATGTCTTCCGGATTGGGGCTTTAGGATCCAGGCGTATTACGACCAGAACTTCCACAGTAGCCCTAAGCCCTAAACCAACCCTAAACCCTAAACCCCTGAAGCCCAAAAACCTCAAAACATATCAAAAGGTCTAGGGTTTGGGTCTGGCTGCCCGTTCTGCACAAGTCTTGGAGTTCTCGAACCCAAGGGGATCCAAGCTGACTGAGACTACCAAGACCGCAAGCCCGACGCCGAACCCGCCCCGCTTCCACAAAAAGAACCAGCGCCACGCCAGAACTTCATGTAGGGGCCTTAATAATTGGAATAGGGTGTTGGGGGCCCATCATACTATAATTATAATAAGGAGCCCCTAAAATAGTATTGGTAATTATTAAAGCCTATATATTAGGGCTTGGGGTGTGGGTTCCCCCGAAACCCTGAACGCCCTCTCCTCGCCCGCCTTCCCGCGACGCCACCTCCGGCGGAAGACACTCCCCGGGCTTTCGATGTTCCCAGTTGGCCTGGCTCAAACAAGGCATCTAAACCCCTCAGCCCTAAACCCTAAACGCTAAACCCCTAAACCCTAAACCGTGGGTTTGCCAAAAGCGATTGAACCTAACAACCTCAACCGCAATCCTATAAACTCTCCCGAAGGATTCTTCTCAAAGCATAGGTGGCATAGGTGGTCTTACTTGCCGTTAAACGCTCGTCATTCTTACTGCCCTCGCTAGTCCTACCGCGGCGATGGTGATGATGATGATGATGATGATGATGGTGATGATGATTACAACGGCGTGGTTATCAGGCATATCAATTCTCCGGTTCCGAGGACTGCATTACCACTATGCTCGCTGCCCTCACTCGCCCCTACCTTCCCTCCACCTGTGCCTCGACCCCCAGCCTTGGAAGAACTCATTTGGGGGTTTAGGGGTTAATATGGGGGGCCTTTATAATTAGAATTGGGTTTTGGGGCCCATTATACTATATTGATAATGAGGAACCCCCAAAGCAATACTGGCAAGCATTTAGGCCCCTATGTTAGGGTTTTTTCAAGCGCAGTGGCCTAGGGTTCAGGGTTTAGGGGCAGGAGAACTCCGGACTTGAATCCTGAGCTCCTTAACAACAAAAACCTTCTGAAAGCCTAAAGCCCCGGAACCTCGACCCTTAAGACCCTAACATCCCAAAGCAGTCGACTCTACACCCTAAAACGTGAAGAAACCAAAAAGCTAAAGTAGCAAAACTGCGCGCCGAATCCCAAAGCACCAGGACCATCACTCGAGGACTACTCCTAAGTTCATTCCGGGAGGCAAACAGCAGGAGTTCATCAGAAACGCTAAAAACTCAAAAAGCTGCAAAATCCCTTTATTCAGAGCGGTGGTGATATACAAGACGAGACGCCGTCAGGAATGAAAGGCGAAAGCATGCCCTCTGAGGCAGGAGCAGAGATCTTCATCCCGAAATGCGAACCCAAACGAAAGCGCGATTTAAGAAGATGGGAGAGACAAAGAGCCGCCGTGCACGACGCACTCATGCGCCTCGCGCCGTCACCAGCTTCACTTGCCTACTCCTCTGCAACCTGCACAGGATAACTCCTTACTGTTACCACACAAGCAACCCAAAAAGCACACCAGGCACAGCTGTTGGATGCCTCGTCTGCCGCGGAAGACAAGTACCTCGCCAGCTCCAGGGCAGCAACGAAGTCCTGCGAAGATGCTCGCTTGAAGAAGCCCGGGGGCTTGGGGTTTAGGGTTCTGGGTTCAAGGTTTAGGGTGTAGGGTTCAGGGGTTTAGGGGTTTAGGGTTTGGGGGTTTAGGGTTTAGGGTTTAGGGTTTAGGGTTTAGGGTTTAGGTTTGGGAGCTTCAGGATTCCAGTGCGTAGAATTCAGGTTGGTTTCTTGGAGCACAAAAATGGGCGGTAGGCCGGCAGCACCTTTGTGGTTCTTACTTTGGTTCTTGCTCAATCCAATTGGGGATTTCCGAAAATAGGGGACCGTAATATAGTACCCTAAATTATAAGGACCCCAAAATAAGGCACCCCCTTATGTTCGGAAACTCCCGAATTGTAATCGTGGTCAGGTTGTGTTTGCTGCTGTGGCGGTGCGAGTCTGGTGAGCCTTCTCGAGGCATTGTCGTTCTTGTCATTGGCAAGGTTTTGGCCAGGTCCGCATAGATCCGAATAATCACAGCTGCAATCATTACTAACAACAATCACCAAAAATGCAGCAGCAACAACAACAACAACAACAGCCAACAAAAATGCAGCAACAACAACAACAACAGTTTAAGTTTAAGGCTTGGGTTTAGGGCTTGAGGCTCGAGGCTTCGGGCTAAAGCTCTGAGAGATTGGCTGCATCCGCACAGAACCTACGTAGGGAGCCAAATGCTCAGAGCCCTGCACCCAGAACTCCACCGGCCGCATACAGCCCTGAATACGAGCATCCTTATGGTAACATCTTTGAAGTGAAGCCCCAGCTCTTGATTATTGAGTTTGTCTGCTGTTGTTGTTGCTATGCTGTGACTGCGACCAAGACCATGACTCTTGCTATGACTGCTACTATTACTACTACTGTACCAGTACTATTAGTAGCATTGCTGCTATTGCTTTCCTTGTTCGTATTACCACCACGACTCTTGTTATTGCTATTTGTTGGTCTTTTTGTTTTCTACTGGTTTAATCTTCGTAGTACTACTGCTAGCACTGGTACTATGATCATTGTCATTGCAATTATTGCTCGTGTTCGAAGCCTGCAGTTTTGTGAGGCTGACGCTCCCTGTGGGAAAAGGCACCAGGCTTGCAAAGCAAATGGGTCCTGGATGGCCGTCGAGGCATCCCCGACATAAAGCCTCATTTTGATGGGGTTCAGGGTTTAGGCTTACGGGGGTTCAAGATGTAGCTATCAGAACGACAGCGATTGAAAGAAAATCACGATAACAACAGCAGTACCAATCATTACCATGATCGCAAAGCTGGTTCTGGACATGGACACGCCCAGGGTTAGGGTTTAGGGCTCAAGGCCTAAGGGGCACTAACGATGAGGAAGCAGACGCAGCTATTTAGGCTTGCCAGCTGGGCTGGACGCTCCCCCAGTGCGAGTTCGGCATCTTCTCTTTGTGGCTGGGGCACCGGGCGAAGACACTCCGCGCAGGACCATCAGCTCATGTGGCAAGAAGATGACCTCAAGAGCGCCATACACCAGGCCGTTGAAGCTGGAGAACTATCTATCGTAAACCCTAAACCCTAAACC